AACTTCTGGTTGCTCAGGGCTTTGATAGGAGATGTGTAAATGGTACTAGAAACAGGGTATGGATCAGTCAGTCTTTCCTCACAGACTCATAGCTGGGACACCCTGCCTTCCCACTGGAGTCCCCTCCCTCACACTAACAACCCTCAAATCCTCCTTCATGACACCAGCCTCTCCTAAGCCAGCCCAGGTCCTCTTCCTGCCCCGCCTCTCTACTAGACTTTTTCATTCCTCTCTGAACCCCATCTCTAAAGGACAAGGAGGTGGCAGGGGAGGGGAGGTCCAGAAGGACGCAGGAGAAGGGCAGGCTGGGGAGGGCAGGCTGGGGAGGCGTGTGTACCGCGTCATGTGTTTCTGGGCCAGGGCAATGGCGTACTCGGCCACCACTGTCTTCCCGGCAGATGTGTGAGCCGCCACGAAGACAGAGTCATGCTGCTCCAGATGCAGGATGGCCTGCTTCTGGAACACATCCGGCTCAAACGCCCACTGCATGAGAGAAATGCACAGGGCTGCAGGGCGAGAGCCTCTCTGCCTCCTCACAGGCATGCAGGGCAGAGAAGAGAAGGCCAGTACAGGCTGGGACCAAGGAGCAAGACCAGCCCGGAAGGCGTGTGGGCCGTGGTGAAGAGAGAGGACAAGGCTGGGCTGAGGGGCAGGGCCAGGGTCTGCTCTACCAAGAGGTGGAGTAAGGCCTGGGCACGGTACCTGGAAGGCAGGCTGAGGAATGAGACGGTAAAAGTCACCCACAGGGGACGTGACATCCACAGGTACAGCCCACTGTTCCTGAGGGGGAGGCTTGGGAGGCTCCAGGGGGGATATGATTGTGGATGCTTCCTGGAAAAGTCAGGTAGCAGTGAGAAAAGTATAGCCAGAGAACTCTTGATCGCCACTCATCCCCGAGATATCTCACTGCTACCCTCAACCCCGACCCCTTCTTGCTTGCCTCCATCCCTGGTGACGTCTAACCTTCAACACTAGATCCTCCAAACTGCTTGCTCGGACCAGGGGAGTGCTGCGGGGAGAGGCGGAAGCAGGGTCCGCCCCAGGGCCTCCTGCGGCCTCACTCTCATCCCCGTCACCTCCACACAGATCCAGAGGCTCCAGCAGACAGCTGAGGCTGAGCAGACCTGGCACAGGAGCTTGGTGATCTGAGGAACAACAGCCACCTTGTCACATTCACACGTCTGTGGGAGCAGGGCATCCCTACAAATCCTTATCAGACTCACCCTTGGGGCCAAAATCCACCCCTTTCTTGAAGCCAGGTGGGACAGTGAGAAGATCTGCAAGATGAGAACAGAGAGGCGGCGTCAGCCACCAGCAGCTGTTTTGGAAACTACACATCACATGACACAGAATTCACAGTGCTCTGCTCGAGGGCGAGGCAGCTGTGGCCATTTTTAAAGAGCTACTAGAGAGAACACCTTTTCCCTTGGGGGTGAGAAGGATCCCTTTCCAGTTTGTGGAAGTACAGGACAGCTAGAAGCAGCCTGCTGGGCCCTCCTCAGACACAGGACCACTTCACCTTTCTCAAAGTCTATCTCCTCCTCAGCTTCCTCCCGAGTGCTCAGATCTGTTATGGTGGGCTCGTCCATCCCACCTGGAGAAACATGAGGATTCAGCATCAGCAGAGACCCTTTCCCGAGACACCAAGACACTCTTCTACCACCGTCTTGGACAACTTACCTGGCCAGAAAGGATACTGTGTCGGGTTGCCCCACAGTGACTGGGAGGCCGGCCCTGGAGGCCGGCGCAGGGACAAGGAGGTCGTGGCTGACAGGTGTGTGTTCTCTAGCAAGACCTGAGACGAGAGGTTGGAGTCCCAGTGAGACCAAGCCTGCTCTGACCTGTTCTCCCAATTCTGTGTCTTGTGGTCTCTGACCTCTCACCTCCTTGTAGCCCAGGATCTGGCCTGTGGTTGGGTGTCTCTGGGCCTGAAGGTCGGACGGGACAGGAGCCCCCAAAGCAGCCAGGAGAGACCAGGGATCCCTCTTCCTCTGCCATTTTCTGGAGAGAAGGAGAGGAATTTTGGAGTCAGCATTGTCCCGTCCCTGCCCCCTCCGTTGGTCCATCGCCCTAGCTGGGTCCCCACAGACTTCTCACCGAGCTGAGTACTCCACCCCATGCAGAGGAAGCCAGGCAGGAGACGAGAGGAACAGCTGTTCTGCTTCTTGCTGTAGATCTGGGGCACAGGGAGGGAGGCCGTGGGGAAGCTGGGACAAGATGGGAAGCACCGAGTTAGGGGAGGAGAGGGGCAGACAACAGAGGCCATGGAGTTTGTGTTTAGATCCAGTGGTAGGTGTCTCCAACAGAAGCTGAGGCAGTCAGATGAGCAAAGCCCGAAGGCTAAGCAAAACCCACCTGCAGCTGAAGCACACTAACCACAGCAAACTGGATTTCAGAGGCATCCAGGCCAGACACAGTAATTTGCACTTTTTTTTTTCCGGTTTTTTCGAGACAGGGTTTCTCTTTGTAGCTTTGGAACCTGTCCTGGAACTCACTCTGTAGACCAGGCTGGCCTTGAACTCACAGAGATCCACCTGCTTCTGCCTCCCGAGTGCTGGGATTAAAGGTGTGCGCCACCACCGCCTGGCAATTGCATTATTTTAAGACAGAGTTTCATGTAACCCAGGCTTGCCTCCAACTTGATATATATGTATATCAGAGAATGACCTTGAACGAGGGAGTGACAAGCCTCTGGTACCACACTTGAGTGTAGCGCAAATTCTAATTGGTCTTAATAAAAACCCAGGGCCATTATCGGGGTAGATGCTGAAAGATCAGAGAACCAGAGCAGCCAGCCACTAGAGAGATTTCTTACCTCTACCTAATCCTCATTCCAAAGGGGCCTGAGCTCCTGTCTCCTCCCGCCTTATACGCCTCTCTCCGCACAGCCATATCACTTGCTGCCTCCACCTTCCTAGCGCTGGGATTAAAGGCATGAGCCTCCACTGCCTGCCTCCGTTGCTCCTTTAGACTGGATCAAGCCCAGGGTGGCCTTGAACTCCTGATCTTCCTGCTTCCTCCTCCCAAGTGCTGGGATTAAAGGTGCCTCTATGGTTAACTAGTGGGTTAGCTTTATTTGTCAGAACACAAACAAAGTATCACCACACTTCAGTGTCATGCGGAGCCGGGGATCAAACCCAGGTCTCTGTGTATGGTAGGCAGGCACTCTACCCACTCTGCTGGGAATCTGCATCTTAGAATGACTTATTAGTAGTAGTAATATGCATGGATATATATAGGTATTTGTGTTATGTGTGGTTATGGGTGCACACAAGCTATGCATGTGTGGCACCCAGAGGACATCTTTGTGGAGCTGGTTCTCACCCTCTCCCCTTACATGTGTTTCCTCAGGCTTGCAGAGTACACGCTTCATCAGCTAAGCCAGGGATCCTCACCCTTCCTAACGCTGCAACCCTTCAAACCGTTCATGTTGTGGTGACCACCAACCATAAAATTATTTTGTTACTACTGCATAAGTGTAACTTTGCTATTGTTATGAGCCATAATAATGAATGAGTCAAAATGTGAATATTTGATATGCAGCATATCTGATATTCGACCTCTGCGAAAGGGTCATTCACCCACCAAAGGGGTCGAGGCCCACAGGTGAGAACATCTGGGTTAAGCTTTTTCTTTTCGTTTTTTGAGATAAGGTCTCACTATGTAGCCCTGGCTGGCTGACCTGGAACTTGATAGGGAGACTAAACTGGCCTCCAACTCAAAAGATCCGCCTGCCTCTGCCTGCCGAGTGCTGGGGTTAAAGGCGTGCGCCACACCGGGCTTCACATTCAGGAGTTTAAACGCCAGGTCTCGGCCAGGTGCCCTGAGCGTGCGTGCGTGCGTGTGTGCAAGCGCAGTTCCGAGAGCTCGGTCTCCAGCACTCCCGGTTCTGACCCACTGGAGCGCCACGAGGCTGGGACCTGTCCAGCCCCAGCGGGGGCCCGGATGACGGTGTTCCGGCACAGGAAGGTGAGGTCAGACTAGATCCTGCTGTGACCAGGGGTGGCCCAGGTGAGCGCCAGAAGTCACTCACGGTGCTCTCCGGAGCCCCAGGCACGTTCAGCAGCTCCCAGCGCCCAGTGCACCCCACTTCCAGAGCGCGAAGGGGCAGGTTCAGGGGGTCTGGGGGAGGCAGCACTGCGGGGGGAAAGGTCACAGGTTAGAGGTCAAAAGCCACTCCTACGTCCTATCCCGCTCTCCTCCCCTCTCCCCCTCCCCTCCCCCTCACCGAGTCTCTCAGTCTCCATCATCTTGAAGCCCCGGCAGCTGTCGCGCAGCCCGGAAACTCAGAGTGGCCACGGCGTGGGCCCCGCCCCGAGATGGGCGGAAACAGAGTTTTTTTTTTCCCCGACACGCCCCCTCCCTCCGCCATTCCCCGTCGGGAGCGTGGGCGAGCGCGGCGCCGAAGCCAGACTCGGAGCCGGGCAAGGCCGGGCGGAAGTCGCTGCGCCTCGCCGCCTTGGTTACCGCGTGTCCCGCCCCCCTCTACGTCATCGCCGCGAGCCCGCGCGCAGCAGCCCGCGCGGCGGCGGCGGCGGCGGCGCCGGAGACCGCGGGCCCGGGCGCCGCCCCCTCAGGTGAGGGCTTCGTCTCACATCCTTCGCGCCTTCCCTACGCGGGCCCTGGTTCTTCTTCCTCCTCCTCTGGCCGCCCAGAGAGCGCTGCGCGGGCCCAGCCGCCTTCTCTGCCCACCGGACCCCGAGGTTGGCTGACCTAACCCCACCGGGCATGGGGGTCGGGAGCCATGGCCTCGGCGTCGCAGGGAGAGCTTTCCCTCCTCCGGGCTGAGGTCCCCCCAAGGCTCTAGTGCCCGGACCTTGGACAAAGGCGGGAATGCCGGCTGATTATAATGAGCAGGAGGTCGGACAGCAGCCTCGTTGAAACCAGGGGTTAGGGCAAGGCCAGAGGCTGGAGTAGGCGGGCCTGGAGGTTGGGGTAAATACAGGACGGACAGACGTCGGACGACGTGTGGATTTTGAGTGGTGACAGTAGAGAATGACGTCTTGGGTTCTGCCCTTGAACCAGGAGCCAACATGTTGGTGATACCTCCCGGACTGAGCGAGGAGGAAGAGGTACTGCAGAAGAAATTCAACAAACTCAAGAAAAAGGTAAGGGAGGGAGCGCAGGGTGCCGGCCGCCGGGGTGAGTGTGAGGCGATGGCGGTTCTGCTGTCTCCAGGCTCAGACCCAGAGCATATGTGTCGTGTGGCTTCACCAGCATCGAAAAATCTTGGTTTGAACCTCCCCCCCCCCCCTTTTCTGTTCAGTCTCCCGTGGGATTGTCATCTTTCCTGTGGCTTTAGTACCACTCACGAGCTGGAGAGTCTCACCTTTGGAGTCCCAGTTCCATCCAGTGTTTGAACCATCAGACACCCAAGCTAGAGCCACCTTCCTATGTAATCTCCTCCCCTTTCCTTGCCTTTAGATAGGACCTGCTACACTTCATAGGCCTTAAAATCTCATCTCCGACCTTTTTTTCCCTCTTCAGGCAGGGCCTCACACTTTAGCCCAGGCTGGATTGAAACTAGCTTTGGGTAGCCTGGAACAGTTCTGCCTGAACCACCATACTCTGTTCACCCCACACCCAGCTCACTTCTGGCTTCTGTACTGTTTACACAGCAAAACATCTGTCAGGTCTGTCCATGCTCTGTCCCTTCCCCTTCCCACTCTTTTTTTATTCCCCCTTTGAGGCATGATCTCAGTACAAGACCCAGGTTGATCTTGAGCTCCTGGGTTCATGTGATCTTCCTGCCTACGCTTCTCTGAGGAGCTGGAACTGTAGGTACACAACGCTATACTCAGCACTCTTGATTATCAGTGGTCCTTCTAAGTAATCTCTCAATTTACTCATTCCTACGAACCCCTCAGAATAGGGTTTTGCTTGGCTGTTTTGGAGGGGCACACTTGCTCCATTGAAAACACTTCAAAGGTTTCACATTGTGTATAGAACCTGAAATCTCAGTTCAGCATCCCTGTCAAAAAAAGACAGAATTATTTACTCTTAAAACATGCATCTCCCCGGGCAGTAGTGGCACACGCCTTTAATCCTAGTACTCAGGAGGCAGAGGCAGGTGGATCTCTGTGAGTTTGAGGCCAGCCTGGTCTATAGAGCGAGTTCCAGGACAGGCTCCAGAGCTGCACAGAGAAACCCTGTCTCGGAAAAAAAAAAAAAAAAAAAAAAAATCCATGCATCCCCAGACCTTTTCTGGGCATTTTTACCACCTTGTTTTCTTTGTCTAAAATGTCTTTTCTGTCTGTGTTGGGTAAGTTCCATCCGGGTCCCAGTTTAACAGCCACTTAAGCATCTGACAATGTCACTTACATTCAGCTATGATTGATTAGTACCTTTGCTTATTCTTGGCTGTCGGTCTGGTCGTTCTATTTCCGATTTTAAGTTTCTTATGGGTAGGAACTAGGTGTTTCACCTTTGTACAGCCTCATTAAATATGCAGAAGCTAGGTAGGTAAAATCCCCAAGGAAGACATTCAGGCCTTATTTGCAGCTTGTATGGTAGGGCTTATGCTTTTTTCAACTTCCAAAATGTGAGACTAGAGAGCCTTTGGATGCCATGGTTGGTTTGGTTAGGTTAAATGTTGTTGGCATTATGAGGCTGTAGAGACTAGACATACTACTCCAGGACAAGGACACCACATGTACTGTCTCTGGAATGATGCACGTAAGAGACCAGCACCTTGGCTGCCAAACTTCTTCTCGTGACTCTTTCTCCTTCCCAGAAAAAAGCATTGCTGGTGCTCAAGAAGCAGAGTAGCAGTGGCACCGTGAGCCAGGGCGGCGTCAAACGCTGTAAGTGATGGGGAGTCCGGGGGGAGCAGCACGGGGCTGCCCTCTGCTTCAGCCATCGTAATGCCACCCTCCCTTTCCCCCCCACCCCAGCACTGTCAGAGCAGCCTGTGGTGGACACCGCCACGGCCACGGAGCAGGCCAAGCAGCTGGTGAAGTCAGGAGCCATCAGTGCCATCAAGGCTGAAACTAAGAACTCAGGCTTCAAACGTTCTCGGACCCTAGAGGGGAAGCTGAAGGTGAGCAGAGCAGGATGGTTTGGGGCACCCTGACGTCAGTGAGATCCCCTCCAGCTGAAGGGAGGCGGGGTTAGGGAAAACACGTACATGCAGATAGGAACACGTTGTGCTGCTATTCTGAGGGTCAGGTGGAGCTGGGCCTAGAGGCACGTACCACCTACACCACTGGAGCGTTAGGTTTCTTGTCTATTACACAGGGAACCTAGGTGACTCCCACATTTCTGCTTTCCACGTTTGTGCTTCTTGGGTTGAAGGGAGGTTTGGGTAAATCAAACGCTTACTTAAAAACAGCACATCAACTGGACATGGTGGCACACACCTTTAATCCCAGCACTTGGAAGAAATAGGCCAAGCTCTAAGTTCAAGGCCAGCCTAGTCTACAGAGCGAGTTCCAGGGCAGCCAGGGCTACACAAAGAAACCCTGTCTCAAAAAACACACAAAAATATCAGCACATCGTCAATAAGAAGTTTAATAAGAGTGAAAGAGGAACTAGATGAAAGGCCAGGAAGAGAAGGACGAGGAGCTCTCCTGGTCCACACTCACGGGTATCTACCCCTTCCCAGGACCCTGAGAAGGGGCCTGTCCCCACTTTCCAGCCGTTCCAGAGGAGCATATCTGCTGACGAGGACCTGCAGGAGGTAATGGTTTCTGTGGGCTGGGTCTTGATAACAAAAGACCCACATATTTTGGACCCCATTCCAGCACCTGGGAATCCTCTTAATTGTTCTTTGTCTTGTTTTTCCCTCAGTCATCCAGACGTCCCCAGAGGAAATCTCTGTATGAAAGGTTAGAGAGAGACCGCCATTTGATGTGGGGTCAGTGTTGGAGTGGGAGGAGCCAGCTGTAGACGGAGTGTTGACTCCACGAGGTCTGTAAGGAGACAGAGCCCCCTCTGGTCCTTACTGTCTGCCTCTCCCCAGCTTTGTGTCTTCTAGTGATCGGCTGCGGGAACTGGGACCAGAGGGAGAAGAAGCAGAGGGCCCCGGGGCTGGTGATGGCCCACCTCGAGGCTTTGACTGGAGCTATGAAGAACACGGTGGTGCCCGCTCCTCAGCCTCCCCTCCCCGAAGTCGCAGCCGGGACCGAAGTCATGAGAGGAGCCGAGATAGGGACCGGGACAAAGACCGAGACAAAGACCGCGATCGAGACAGAGACCGGGACAGAGACAAAGACAGAGACCGGGACAGAGACAGAGACCGAGACAAAGATAAGGATCGGGATCGAGACAGAGACCGAGAGCGAGAGGGCCCTTTCCGCAGTGAGTGCTCTTGGCCGGGGTTAGGTGGGTCCTGCTGAATAGAGGGGGACGGGGACTCAGTAGTGATTCCTAACCCGCAGGGTCAGACTCGTTCCCCGAAAGGAGGGCCCCTCGGAAGGGGAATACTCTGTATGTCTATGGAGAGGACATGACACCCACCCTCCTCCGAGGGGCCTTCTCTCCCTTTGGAAACATCATTGACCTCTCCATGGACCCACCCAGAAAGTAAGAATGAGCATCCTGGGGTGGAAGCTGTGCGGGGACAGTAGGTCTGGGGACCTCCACTGATCCTGCCTTTTCTCACCCCAGCTGTGCCTTCGTCACCTATGAAAAGATGGAGTCTGCAGATCAGGCCGTTGCTGAGGTTGGGACTTCTCAGACCCCTTCCTCCTACCCCTCCTGTCCACCTCAGGGTTCTGAGAAACCTTCATCCTCAGCTCCCTGTCTGGTCCCCAGGGTGGCAGCACCCTGGCTCCCTGTAATGCCCATCCTCTGTCCTCACCCCTTTTGTTCTGCAGCTCAATGGGACCCAGGTGGAATCCGTGCAGCTCAAAGTCAATATCGCCCGCAAACAGCCCATGTTGGACGCTGCTACTGGCAAGTCTGTCTGGGGCTCCCTTGGTAAGGACGGGCCCTTCCTTCATCCCCTCTACAGCACGCCACTCTTGATTCCCTCCATATCTTTGGGTCCTAAAGTGCTAAAGGTCAGGATTTGCATACAGGCAGCTGTCTGTCAGAGGTGAGGGAAGGAGAGGAACATTAAAAGGTCCCCCAGCAGTGACTGGCACGGAGAAGAGAATGGGAGCCAGTTTGTCCCCTCTGAGCTGGAGTGGTGTCTGAACTTGAAATTGTGGGTCTAAACCTCAAGCAGAAGGCCAGGCTCAGAAATGTAGATTAGTGTCCTGTATGTCTGGAACCCTCAGAGATGGGATTTTGGAGAAAAAGGTGACCCAGGACTGGTTTGGGGAATCAAGTACGTTAGGAAGCTGGGCTCTGTCTGTGCTGAGCACATCTCCAGCAGTCCTGGCCTGCCAGGCTGACGTGGCCGCTGCAGCAAAGGAACCGTGAAGAAGGGCCCAAGCTGAGAGCAGCCCCGGAGCCCGGGCCATGGACCAGGCTCTGAGAAGGAGGGGTGGTCAGCAGAGGCAGGGCACAGGACCAAAGAGGGGAGCTGCCTCTGGCCCCAGATGTAGATCAGAATCCTTGAATGGGATGAGGAGTGTGAGGAAAGAGCAGCTGAGCACTTGGGTTCTGAGGGGTCTTCAAGAGTCTGGCGTAGCCTGTGGGGTTTCTCAGTGTGGACAGCCCAATCTGCCTGAAACAGATTTTCAGAGCAAGAGGCCCTGCAGACACCAGGAAAGAACCAGAATCGACCAGTATACCAACAAGGGCCATAGAGATGTTCTCATCTTTAATTTGCATGCATTTCATGATTTCATCATTCACATGTCTCCCAGTGATAAGGTTCTGGGTTGTCTAAGCCACGCTGACTCTGGCCACCAGAGGGCAGCATCAGCACAAGGCCAGGGCAGAGGTAGCCAGGAGCCCGGATCTAACCTGTGAGCTGCTTCAACCCTTAACTGTCATTTTCCTCCCTCCTTAGCTGTCCAGAACAGCCGTAAGGGTTACCACCGGGACAAGAGGACCCAGATTGTGTACAGTGACGATCTGTAGGAAACCTTTGTGGATGGCTTCTAGGACACGAAGCTGGATTCCTTGTGCCTCATATGCCCCCAAGCTGGTCTCAGTAAAATCCCGGGGCAGAAGCTCATTCACCTCCTTCAGCCTCTAGTTTTTCAGCCCTTGGGATCGGGGTTAAACCTTCAAAAGTGGCCGTCAGTGTTGATGTTACTTGTAGCAACATGACCAGTGCACACCCCTGTTCTCTTACCCCCAAAAAGATGTGGAACACAGTCTTTATTGCAACTGCTTTAATTGATCCTCACCCCCTCATAGGAAACCCAAATCCTCATCTTTGAGTTTCTCCTTGAGCCAGGGCAGCACCTGGAAAAGATTGACGTGGAAGTCCCGGGCATGAGCAGGTGCCAGCTGCTGCCGCTTCTGGTCTTTGCAGACATCCACTACTCCCCAGCTGATCACACCGACCTGTGTAGGTGAAGGGGTGCCATGGGTCACTTGACACTTCATGATCCCAGAAAGCATCCAAGCCGACCTAAAGGAGTGCACTGGGAGCCCAGCTTGTACTGTCTTCCGTGGTGCATGTAGGCCAGACACTTAGCTTGTACTGGCCACTTCAACCACGGCTGTCAGATGAGGTGTGCCCTGTTCTGCTGCCATTACCAGCCACGTGCATCAACCTTTCCTTTTTATGGTGCATGCTGTCCCCTGGGCATCTCCCCACAGGCTGGGAAAGTGAACACTCACTTGAATGAAGCGGCTCCTCTTGTGAACAATGAGAGGACCCCCAGAATCTCCTGTGGAAGAGAGAAGCTGTAGGGGAAAGACTGCTGGGCCTCATGGGCTTGCACCATAGCCAGAGAGCCACCTCACCTTTGCAAGTATTGGGGTCAGCATAGGGATCCACCCCTCCAGTGCAGAGGAACCTGGGGGTGACCACCACAGAGACATCCTTGACTTTGTCATAGCCTGGGGCCTTCAGAGCGTCTCTCTCACAGCTGGCTTTCTGTAGGGGAGAAAGGTGTGGTGACCAGAGCTGGCTGGTGAAGGACCGGCCCCAGGTGGCCTCTCTAGGAGCCCCTTCTCACCTTGTCCCCATTTTTGATGTAGACCTCCTTCCGAGTCAGTTTCTTCGCTTCCTCAGACACAAACAGAGCTTTGACATCCTTCACAGGGAGCAGCTCCTCCTCTGGACAAGTGACAGTGTCATGCCAGCTGTGTCCCCCCACCCCATGTCCCCTCGATTCTCACCCAGCAGATGTCCTTTGGACCCATCCTAGGAGCTAGGCCTTGAGCTGAGCATAGCTGTGCTCTGGCAGCTCCCTCTTGTGACCCCCTTGTCTTGGGTCTCATCCTTGTCTCATCCCAGACCGCGCCTTACTGTGTTGCTTGCAGGTGGCTGTCAGAGGAAGCCGTAAGGCTCGGGTGGTTCCCTCCGTGCAAGGAAGACAGATGGGCCTGTCCAGGACATGGGGACAGTCAGGGCCAACAGACAGCCTGCCCTGTGCCCTGTGCCTCCAGCCCACCTTCCTCAGCTCCTCGGGGACCTGGCCCCACTCACCTGAGAGTCTGGCCATACTTCAGCTTGGTCTTGAGCTTGATGAGGGCCACATCGTAGTCATAGAACTCAGAGATTCCTTCTGCCTTTTTCTCATTGATGTTGTAGTTGGGGTGAAATAGGACCTCTTCGATCTCCAGGTCCTGCCTCTTCCCTTCTGAGAGGAGAAAAATGGGTGTCGTGTTTATGTAAGCAGCCTCCTGGCTCTGGCCCCATGTCATCATTTGAGCTTTGTTTTCCCCAACCTTGGGGCATAAGGGAGAGGCTGTACTGAGGATAGGTGAGATACAGGTCTGCTTCCTAAGGATGGCCCTGGAGAGGAGACTCTTGACTGCATCCTTACCCACGTTGACCTTGATGGAATGCTTCTGATCTTCTACCGTGAAACAGTGTGCTGCCGTCAGCACAAAGTACTCAGACACCACGGCCCCCATACAGTTCTCGTGTCCTTTCAAAGGGCGCTGGGGAAGAGCCAGTGTCATGTCAGCCCCGGTGTGTGTGGTGCTGGGGGTGGGCTTCACACGTGCTAGGTCAGTACTCCATAGTCCTAGCTTGATTGCTCTCTAGCTCTCGATTGATGTGTATCCCTGGCTGACCTCAAACTCAAGGTAGTTCTGCTTCCACTTCCAGCTGCTGGGGGCACCCCCACGTGCACCTTGCCCAGCTTCCTCTTTCCGTTTTCAGACAGTTTCATAAGGTACCGGTGCCAACCTTGAACTCGCTGTGGCCCAAGCAGGCTGTGAATCTCAGCCCTGCCTCAGCTTCCTGAACAGCTGGGATTACGGACCTTGCTAGTGTGGGCATTTCATCTCTCTCCCACAAGTCCCCACTGCTGGAATGCTCACCGTGACTGAGATCTTGGCCTGCCATGGTTGCTTGTGATAATCACTGCCTTTCTTGTGCTCCCACACCATGCCGCAGAGGCTCAGAGATTTGCTTTCGTCTGGCAAAGGAGGAGAATGCAGAAGCTCAAGTCATAGCAGCCATCTTGGTCGGATCCCTGCCTGTCTGTGGGGAGCAGGGCCCGAGAGGAGGAAGAGGGGAGTGGTTCCTTGTGTTAGATGAGGAACCCCTGTGGTGTAGTGAGAAAAGCTTAAGACCAGGCTATCTGAGGATTGGGCATTTTCAGCCCCAGTCTTGTGCTGACTTCCTGTCTTGGCCTCAGTTTCCACATCTGTGAAGTGAACTCAGAGTTCTGTGATTGTGAGATCAGGAAGTGAAGAACTTCAGGAAGTAAGAGTAGACACTGGGACGGAGAGGAGGGAAGGGGGGGGGAGAGCCAGTCTGCCAGGGTGAGGGAAGTCAGCAACCCCAGTCTGCAGACAGCTTCCCCATACATTTCCTTGCATCTTCCTACCAATCATTTGGAAGAAAACATTCTCCAGGTCCTCCATATCCTTGACTTTGAACACATGCTGCTCGTTGTTCTTTTTGGAAGCCAAGGCATTGATGTTCACGGAGTCCACCAGAGGCCCGACCCCAAACACATACACGTCTGAGGGAAAGAAGGAAAGGGTGAGGGTCCAGGCCCTGAGGGCTGAGAGTGATGGATCCCTGGTGGGTCACTCACCCAAATAATCTTCCCGGGGATTCTTACGATCCCTGCCAATGTGCAGCAGGTCTCGGATCTCCTCAATGACAGTGACAGGGTCTCCACCCATGTTGTACAAGCCTGTGAGAAACATGGAGACCATGAAAGTGGGTCAGGGAAGCTCCACTGACTGGAGGCAATCACATGTGGTTTTGAGGACCAAACACTGGCACAGGAGATGGGAGGATGGTAGGGTAGGAGAAAGGTCTCACCATCGGTCATAATGATGATGACATGGCGGGTTCGATTCCAGCCTTCGGGTGGGACATCCTCCGCCCAGCTCATCATGCTATATACAGCCTGGAGAGCCTTCTTGGTGTTGGTCCCTGACTTCAACTTGTGGTCTGTAGAGAGGAAGAGGTCATCCCTTTGCCTGATCCTCCAAGCCACTCTTGAGCCCCAGAAGTCTATGACAACTGAGATCCCACATTCTTTAAATTTTCTTTTTTAGGGTTTTGCTTCGCTATGTAGGCCATGCTGGCCTTGAACCCACAGAGATCCATCTGCTTTTTGAATGTTGGGATTAAAGGCATGTGCCACCAAGCCCAGCCAATCTTTAACTTTCAGTTTTTCAGTTTGTTACCCACATGCCCTTGGCTCTCCCAGCAATCTCAAGGGCACTTTTGGTAAACTGATAGTCTGTGCCATCTGACCACTGTAACCCCAAGGTGCACCTCCCAGCTTTCCCTTCCCTGACCTCTGACCTTCGTAGCTGATTTGGTTGAGCTTCTCAGTGACCCAGTCGGCATCACTGCTCTTTTCATCAGACACTCTGACCAAGACTTTGGGGACCGTGGCATAGGTTATCAGACCATATCGTGGCCTCACCCCATAACTCGCCACCTGTGAGTTAAAAGAACATTGTGTCATGGAGGATTCAGCCTACCGTTGAGACAGGGAGGGCCAGAGTGAGGCTCAAGGGTTACCCGTCAGGAAGGGGGCTGGAGGACAGCAGGGTCTGGACCTGAGGATCTGGGGACACAGGAGAGGTCCAGACAAGGTCCCCTCATTTCAAAGGGAGGGAAAGCTCTGCTCTACCTTCTCAATCAAGTTAGTGAGGCACCGCTTGGCCCCTGTGAAGTTGCTGGCCCCGATGCTTTCTGATCCATCCAGCACCAGGTAGATATTCATGGAGCCCGAGGGATCCAGGACAATCTTCCTCTGCTGGTGTTCACCTGGGCGCCATCAGACACTCAGCTTCTGGCATGCATAGTCCCGGGCAGGTCATCCACCCATCCCCAGGGTCCTGCCCAACCTCCTTCCTTGTCCTCAAACCTGGACTGTGCCCATCCTCAGCATCAACTCCTTCTATGGTCTCTGTCAGGGAGGACAGGAATGCTTCGGCCACCTCTTGAGGGGTGTCATACATGAAGGAGTCTAGGGTTGGTCAGAGAGCAGAGGTCAGATGTCTGGAGTGCTGAGAACACACTGACAGGGTGCTGGGAGAGTTTGGAAAACTGGCAGGGAGGTTTGGGAGGTGTGAGGGAAGAACTAACTAAGGTAAGGTGGTGAGAAGCGTCCTAGTGTGGAGACAGCAGGGAGGAGCTGACCCAGGGAGCAGCTCAAGAGTCACCTTGGCAGGAAGGCTCCGTCCCACTCCATACGCCTCCTTCCTGGCATATTCGCTGCTGGGAGCCACGCAGGACAAGTCCCCGGCTGCAGTGATAAGTAACAGTGTCTTCAAGGCGGTACTGGCTGCCCACCTTCCTTGTGCCAATGGGAATACCCGGGTTGGGACAGTATCCCGCTGCAGAGACATGAGGACAGTTGGAGTGCCCATAAATTCCCAGGGTGAAGCCCTCAGGGAGAGGGTGAAGTCAGGGGTGACCCACGTCTCACCTCCATCATCACAGATGGCTGTTTGTCCATCCCACCGGCCATTCGCTTGGCAGGTGCGGTTAGCAGAGCCCCGGAGAGTGTAACCATTATAGCATTGAAAAGAAATCTGGTCACTCAGGTTGTAGAAGGGAGACCGGGGCCAGTACTCCCCATTTTCAAAGTCCTGTGGCCGTGGGCAGCGTATCGCTTTAGGAAAGACAGGTAAAAGTCACCGAGGGCCGTTTTTAGGTCCTTCATGTCACTGAGAAACAGTGCCTGCCAGTCCCCTCAACCTGCTGCCCCTCCTCTTTGTGTTTTGGGATTGTTTTGTTTTGAGACAAGGTCTCATGTAGCCCAGGCTGGCTTCAAACTCACTATGAAGCTGAAGATGACTGAGCTTCTGACCTCCTGCCCTGCCTCCTGAGTGCTGGGATTACAGGCGTGCACCTGTTTCATGTAGTAGTGCTGCTTTGCTCATGCTGGGCAAGTGCTCCACCAACTGAGCCGCATTCCTAGACGCCCTCCCCCATTTCTCAGTATTGTTTTCACTACCAGGGCTGCCCGACATGAGGAAGCACTTCCCACACGCACCCTCAGAGGTGTGCCCACTGCTCAGGCTGCTGGTCACACAGCTCCAACGTTAGCAAGCCCTGAGCAGCTCCACCTGCTCTGTCCCTGCCACCCACTGCTCACACTCCCAAGCCTCCAACCTCTGCACTCTGCCTTCTTGACAGTCTTTTGGTCTCTGGTCTGCAGGGCGCTCCAGGAGCCTGTGGATCTGCAGGTTCTGGTCTGCACGGGGTACGGGTAGAAACCAGAGGGACACAGGTACTCCAGGGCCTGGCCACCTTGGAGAAGCTGGAAGGTGCCGCCTTTGATCCCTACTCCTTCCAGGGAGCAGGAGACCTGGGGCCGGGCTGCAAGCACTGGAGTCGTGCTCACACCTGAGGAGAAAGGCTGGTGAAGCCTGGCCCCAGAAGGCCCAGGACAGATGCTAGGGACAAAAGGAGGATGGGGTGTCCTTTGCTTACCTCCAGAGGAGAGACCTACAACCAAGAGGACCAGGCAGAGTTGAGGACTCCGATTGTACCCCATCATCATGGAGAGCAAAAGAGAGGCCAGTGGCCGAAAGCCCTCTCCAGTTCACTCTGGGTGTCTACTTGGCTCGCTGTCCAAACTGAAACTGTAACGCTGGGCCTGGCTACGCCCCTTCCCACTGGCCCTGGCCTTTTATGCAATCTGCTCTGGCACCTGCAGTTTGGTGCCTGCCCTACACAGGCACTGCTTTCCCGGAACATTCACAAAGGAGGGCCCCTGCTGAGCTGCCAACTGAGGAAACAGAAACCATCCCAGCCTCACTCTTTACTGACCAGGGGCCAGAATTTCCCTTTCAAAGCTCCTCCTTAGCCCCCAGATCCTCCTAACAAGCCCAGACCACCCCCTTAGAGGCCAGCTTCCCATGGACTGTGGGATGGGGCAGAGTCCAGCCACTGTTTGTACAGCAGGGTCTCTGACCTTCCTGGAATCTCCCTGGCCTCCCCACCCCCAAGACATAAGACAGACAGATGTGGAAATCACTGGTTTTTATTAATTTCATAACTGGGAAATTCCATGTGAGAATGAAAAGCACAAGTCATGCACTCTAGGGAGAGGTTTGCACACAGGCAGGGCAGGGGGGATGGAGAGTGGTCCCTGTGCAACCCTGGGGATTCCCCAGCTTTTGCTACTGTCTCTGGATTCCTGGGGCCCAGAATGTATGTACCCAGGAGGGAGGACACTCAGAGGCAGGAGACAGGAAGGTCAGAACAGTAAAGGAGCCAAGAACCATGTTAAAGCGGCAAAAAGTTCAGGACGCCATCCAGGTGCTGCCTCAGCCAGGGCTGCAGGCGGAAGAGATTGATGTGGAAGTCTCTCGGCAGAATCCCCTGGGGAGGCTTCCTGCGGGAGTTTTTGTTCGGGGAACTGAAACAAGGGTCATAAAGACCCCAGCTCACCAGGCCCACCTGGGGAAAGAACAACAAGGTTGGATATCGTGGCAGCCGCACTCCAAGACTCAACCTGTCTGGTCCCTCAACGGCTCCCACCTGACCCAGCAAGAACGACTTGTACCCTGCCTGGCAGCCAGCCCCCTCCAAGTCCTGCTTCCCACCTGGAAGAACCTGTATCTCCGCTCAAGGAAAACCGCGCCCCCAGACTCTCCTGCAGGGAAAGAAGGGACAAGAGACGTTGTCACCCAGGGCAGCACACTAGTATCCCGAGTGTGTGACACCAGAGCTTCTCCCTCGGAGCAGAGGAGTGGGCTTCTTACCTCTGCAGGGATTGTCCTCGTTGTCCTCGTTGTCCTCGTCCTGCATGCCGCTGCACAGGAACTGGTCTGTCACTATCTCACTGATGTTTGTCAAGCCGGGGAAGATGTTTTTGCTTTCGGAGACGGCCTTGATACAGCTTGTCCACTGCAGAGTGGGGAGCAGGAGAAAAGAACACCACGCCAGGAGACATTAGGCAGACCAGCAAAGCCCTGGAGAAGGGGAGACTCCAGGCAGGGTGGGACATGCTGGGAGCCGTCCCCCAGGGCATCCCCCTTACTGATCTCTCACCTCAGGTCCTGTCCTGAGGTTAATGTTCAGTTTGTTCCCATTCAAAGCCACAAAATGTGCAGGAACTTTCTGCTGATTCAGAAGTTCTGTCTCTGCCATCAGGGTGAAGGCAGGGTGAGTACAGAACCCATGCACCCAGCTTGAGGACTGCAGCTCAGGCCCTGCCAGCACACCCAAGCTCTGGCCCCAACTCAGCACAAAGCTCAAGCCTTCAGGACTCACCATGGTCTCTACAGGTGCCACCTGGGGATCTTCGAAGAGCCATGTTGGCCTCCACAGTGCAAGGAAGGCAGATTGGCCTGGGGACAAAGGTGAACGTCACAGAGGCCCATCCTCAGTATCCCCTCTGGTACTTCCCAGAGCACTGCCCTCTGTAGGGTGCCCTCCCAACCCGGGCTCAGGCACCTGGCATGAGTGGACATTTTCACTTTCTGGGCCAGCTTCAACAGGGCAATATCATCAGCATAGAACTCTGAGATGCCCTGGCTCCGCTTGGCATGGACATCGAACCCAGGGGCAATCAACGCCTTCTCCACAAGGAATTCTTTGCCATGATGAGAGGCGGGATCCCCTGGGAATGGTGGTGGATTAGGGTGGACCAGAAAAGACCAGAGGCTGAGGAAAGACAGTGGTGACTCCGGCCTTGGGGTAAGGGCCCGCTGCAGCCCCTGACTTACCCACAATGACCCTCCACAGGTGACGGTCCTCCATCTGGGAGTCATGGAAGCAGTGGGCCGCTGTCAACACCCACTGGTCAGAGAGGAGGGACCCCCGGCACGTCTCCTTGCTCTTGGGCTGCAGGGAACAGACAACAGTCAGGGTTTGCTTTATCCGGCTCTTTTCACCTCTGTGATCCAAGCCCCGCCTCTCCGTCTGGATACCTTAAAGGTGACATGCCAAGGTGTCCTCTCCTGGTTAGAGGCATTGGCAGACATGTTCCCCACCCCACAGATGGTGTCCGTGAGCTTGGAGACGTCTGTGGATGAAGACCAGGTGTGGAAGAGGTGGGTGATGGGCACAGGTCCAGGCTGGCACCCTGAGCCCCAGCTGACTCCACACTGCGCTCTCTGCTACAAGGGGGACGGAGCTTCACTTACCCAGCATATGCTCAAAGACCTGTTGCACTGCCTGCGAGTCCTTCAAGATGAAGGCGTGCCTCTCGCCGTCCTTCTTGGACCCCAGCTCATTCAGTTCTTTCCAGTCCACATCCAGGTTGCCCACCCCAATGGCATAGATGTCTGATGGGAAGGAGGGAAGTCACCAGAGCCTGTGGCTGAGAGGCCACCCAAGACATAAGGCGGGTACTTGAACTTGCTAAGCCGACAAAGACCTGAACTGGATGGACTCGGGCCCCCTTCACCCTGTCTGACTTCCTCCTGCCGACACCACACCCCAACCCTGCACAGCCTCCTAGCAGCTCCTCAAACCCACAGGCACATTCTGCTCAGGCCTCCGCTCCAGCAGCACCTCCGGCTGGGGTATTCTCCCCCAGATGTCCACACAGCTCTTCTTCAGCAAGGTCTTCTATATCTGCAATGCCCCCGACACTCCCATGCCCTCCCCACTTGACTTTACGTCATGACGCTGGGTACCTATCACTCGCATGCTCAACAACTGCCCTGTTTACTTTCTGTATTGCCTACAGTGGGTAGAATTGTGTTTCCCAGAAGAACGTGTTCAAGTTTATTGTGAATGTGACCTGCATTAGAAACAGGGTTTTGGGCCGGGTGGTGGTGGCACACACCTTTAATCCCAGGATTCGGAAGGCAGAGCCAGGCAGATCTCTATGAGTTCGAAGCCAGCCTGGTCTACAGAGCGAGATCCAGGGCAGGCACCAAAACTACACAGAGAAACCCTGTCTTGAAAACAAAAAAACAAACAAAAAAACAAACAGGGTTTTTTTGGGGGGCGGGGGGTTGAGACAGGGTTTCTCTGTGTAGCCCTGCCTATCCTAGAACTCTCTCTGTAGACCAGGCTGGCCTCGAACTCACAGAGATCCACCTGCCTCTGCCTCCCGAGTGCTGGGATTAAAGGCGTGCGCCACCACCGGGGAAACAGTCTTTTTTCCTGGTGTGTTACCACCACTCAGAAAGTGGAGGCAGGAAGATCAGGAGTTCAAAGCCAGCCTCAGCTACCTAGTGAGTTGGAGGCCAGCCCAGGCCTGTCCCCAAAATAAAACAAAAGAGGACCGGAGAGCTGACTCAGCTGCCAAGAATGCTTGCTGCTCTTCCAGAGGACCTGAGTTCGTCCCCAGCACTCACTGCCTGAGCTCCAGCTCCAGGAGAGGCAGTGCCCTCTTCCAGCCTGCAAGGGCACCCACACTCATGTGGCATACACTCACACAGACACACACACATACACAGAGATAGAAATAAATATATTTATAATAAAAGTAAACAGAGGGCTGAGGATAGAGCTCAGTGGTAGAGCACTTGCTTGGTAGGAACAAGGTCCTACATTCAGTCCCTAACACTGCAGTAAATACATAAGAAATTTGAGCCCAAACATAGTTAGCTGGACACTGTGGGAACAGGACAGAAATTGGAGTGAAGACAGAGATGGAGGTTGGGGTTTTGTGGCTGTAAGCCAAGAATACCTGTGGCCACCAGGCCTCTACATAGCAAGACCCTGTCTCCAAAACAAACCAAGAGAAAAATTTAATTGTTTTCTGGTCATAGGTCAGTACACTTTGTGGTCACCCTAAACCTGAATGCTTCACCTAGGTGTCTACTGCTGAAGGGACACCGGAGGGGACAGTCCCTACTGGGAACCCAGGCCCATTCTTCCTGCAAAGTTTCCTGAAATGTGAGATGGTGATGACGTGGGAGCTCACAGTACTGAGCAGTTCTCTCCACCAGACCACATTGTCATAGGCATCTTCCCCTACTCGCCTGTGAAGGCAGGTCCGGTGCCGATTGCATCACTCATCACAGATGAAGAAGCAGCCCACAGCTCCAGCCCTCTGGAGACGGAACTGGAGTAGGGACCATGGACAGTATGCTATCCAGCTCTCAACCACTGCCACACAGAAGCACCGGGAAACCCTCAGGGCTCAGAGCCAGTGCTAAATCACACTAGAACCCCGGACACAGGAGCCCACCCCACCCCTCCTGACATCTCGGATGGGGCAGAGCCTCACCCAGATAGTCGTTCCTGTTCTGATTGATGCTCAGAATCTCTCTGATGTTATCAACTGCTGGCTTGGGAGGACCACCCATGTTGGACTTTCCTAGAACAGAGAAGAGAAAGAATGCTCCATCTGGGTTGACTTCAGAATTTTTCACATCCCTGGAAACATGGGGAACATTCAGCCATTTTAAAATACAGCATTTGGGGCTGGAGAGATGGCTCAGTGGGTAAGAGCACTTGTTGCTCTTCCAGAGGACCTGGGTTCAGTTCCCAGCACCTGCATGGTGGCTCACAGCCATCTAGAACTCCAGTTCCAGGGGATCCAATGCCCTATTCTGACCTCCAAGGGCACATACATACAGACAGGCAAAACAAAACAAACACATGAAGACAAAAAGTTTCTGTAGAGCAAAGGAAACAGCAGAGCCCACAGCCCACAGGGTGGGAAAGGCTTTACCAGCCAGACTGCAGACAAGAAGCTAACACAGAATTTACAAAGAATTGGAGAAATTCGGTACTAAGAAAGTAAAACTTCCAATCAATAAGTGGGCAAATGAACTGAACATACAGTTCTCAAAAAAGAAACATGAACGGCCAAAAACTGTTTTTAAACGTGTTCGTTATCCCTCCTCATCAAGGAAATGCAAATTGAAACTACTTTGAGATAACCATTTCACCCCAGTCAGAATGGCTGACACAGCAAATCTCACAACCAATTTGGAGGGGATGTCGAGGGAAAGGAGTCTATTCACTGTTAGTCAAAATGCAAAGCAATACAGCCAGTGTGGAAGTCATGCTGGACAGTTCTAAAATATTAAAAATGGAAATACCACGTGACCCAGCGATTTCACTCTTGGGCATAGACACCCAGAGAACTCCACACCCTGTGGTAGAGATATTTGCACCCTCATGGTTATTGCAGCTTTATTCACTAGAGCAAAGAATTGGAATCAACTTTGTTGTCCATCAACAGATGAGTGAATAATGAAAATTTGTGTGTGTGAATATTATTTAGTCTTAAGGATAAGTTAAACCACAAAATTTGCAGGAAAATTAATGAACTTAGATTTTATAATATTAAGAGATGTCACATAATCTCAGAAAGAAATCATCACATGTCCTCCCAGCCAATAATTCTATGTGTATATGTAAACAAATGTACGTATGTGTACAGTACAACACAATGAAAGGCGAACAAGAAAAGCTAATATTGGGGATGAGAAAAGACTGGATGAAGGTAGTGGACACGGGCTAGGAGAGAAGATAAAGCTAAGTGTTTTCTAGTTCTAATTCTGCCATGAATTCTTTGGTTTTGGTGATGGGTAAGTGAATAAACATATACTCAATAGTGAACGTGTAAAATCCACTGTGACTCTCTGCCGGGTGGTGGTGGCGCACGCCTTTAATGCCTGCACTCGGGAGGCTGAGGCAGGCGGATCTCTGTGAGTTTGAGGCCAGCCTGGTCTCCAAAGCGAGTTCCAGGAAAGGTGCAAAGTTACACAGAGAAACCCTGTCTCGAAAAAACCAAAAAAAAAAAAAACCACTGTGACTCTCCACAGCTTCTGTTTTGAATGGCTACTCTAAATGTATAGAAGTTCATTGAGTTGTATAGTCTTCGGGTCTGGTTAATCTCAGGGTGTGTGTGTGTGTGTGTGTGTGTGTGTGTGTGTGTGTGTGTGTGTGTAGTTCGAGGCCAGCATGGGGTACTGGATGAAACCATCTCAAAACAACCAGAGGGGGAATAAAGAGAAAGAAAGAAGGAGAAACTGAGGCTTGCCTCTGCAGCATATTCACTAAGAATTAGAAAAACAGAGAAGGGTCGCATGACCCTGCACCAGGACCACACACAGGTTTGAAGTATCCTATAGTGCTCTGGTATCACATAGCCCAGCAAGATAGTCAAGGTTAGCAGCAAGTAACTGGATACTCCAGAATCGTGCGAAAGAATTTTGAATGCTTCCAACATGAAGAAATGATGAGTGTTTGAAGTGACAGACATGTCAGTCACTACTCAGGTCTGATCATTATGTACATGGGCTGACCTGCCACACTATAGCCCACAGATACATGTGATGACTGTGAAAGAATAGAGTGTGTGTGTGTGTGTGTGTGTGTGTGTGTGTGTGTGTGTGTGTGTTTATGGGCTAGGTAAACATGCTTGTAATTCAGGCCACTCAGCAGGCTGAAGTAGGAAGACCATGAGTTCAAGGTCAGCCTGGGTTACAGATCAAGACCCAGTCTCAAAAAAAAAAGTAAATAAGAAAGTAAGACACGGTGGCGCACATCTTTTATCCCAGAACTTGAAAGGCAGAGGCAGGTGGATCTCTGTGAGTTCGAGGCCAGCCTGGTCTACATAGTGAGTTCCAGACCACCCAAGGCTGCACAGAGGAACCCTGTCTGAAAACCAAACAAACAAAAAGACATGATCCCCCCAAGCACAGAAAGACGACCAGAACACAAGACTTCAGAACCTATCCTGAGGCTGCCCACTGTTGCCTCCTCCAGCAGCCAGGGAGACACTCACCGTCTGTCAGGAGGATAATGGCGTGGCGGATTTCATGCCATGCAGAGCCTCCCATGCTCAAGCGCGCCATCAGGCTATTCATCATGAGGTAGACACTGTTCAGAGCCTCGTAAGTGTTAGTGCCAGAGGCGTTTTCATGATCTGAAATGTTCCAGAAGAAAAACCTTTTGAAAACAAAAACCAAACAATAAAAACCCTCTACCTGCCACCCAGGATTGAGGAGATTGCTCTGTTTGAAAGACCACCAGAAATGCAAGCTGTCAGAGTGTCTGATAAACTCAGGTATTTTGAATGACTTTTCAAAACATTTTGGTTTTTCCACCTTAGAATGTCCATTACAGAAACAGGATGGTGCAGGTCTGTAATCCTAGCAATCAGGAGGCAGAAGCAGGAAGATCTTTGTGAGTTCGAGGCCAGCTTGGTTTACAGAACAAGTTCCAAGTCAGCCAAGGCTACACATGAAGACCTTGTCTCAAAAATTAATTAATTAAAAAAAATGGAAACACTCATCAAGTAATCCTCAATCTAAAACGACTACAAGTTCCCAAGATTTAAAGATGGAGCTTCCAAAGAGTTTGTGGTGTTTCAGCTGTTTGGTGGCACCCAGGCAGGTTTGACACAATGTGCAGATGGGTAATGACAAGGAGGGTACAGTGTTGAGCCACAAAGAGCAGAGCATATGCCCACGGATCTAGAAGGAGCTGAAATCCTGTATGGTGCGTTTGAATACGGACTTGTAGTGTGTCACAGAAGGCTATGAGGTGTGGAAACTGGACCCAAGTGCTCTAAGAATGAACAAATGTGCTTTCTCTCTCTCTCTCTCTCTCTTTCCCCCCTTCTTCTCCTTTCCTTCCTCCCTCCATCCCTCCATTCCTCTGTCCCTGAAAAGGGGTCTCATGTAGTCCAGGCTGGCCTCAATTTCCATAGGTAGCCAAAGACAACCAGGGGAATGGGAATTATGTGGTGCTGGGGCTGGAACCCAGGGCCTCCTGCGTGCTAGGCAAATCCACTACCAACTGAGCTACATCTTCAGGCCCCTCCCCTCTGGAATCTCTGCAGCTGCTTGGTCCATCCCCTACTCTCCACCTCACCCAGCAGATGAGAGTCAAACCTTTGTAGCAGGCTTTGTCCAGACTGCTGATCACCTCCACCACATTCTGGGATTTCTCACTCACGACCGACATGATGGTTTTGGGCTTGGAAGCGAAGGTGATGATGGCAACACTGACCTTGATCTCAAAACTGAAGATCTGGAGAGGGCAGGAGAGAAGGGGGCAACCATTGCAAAACCGAACAAGAGCAGGTCCGAGAGACACAGAGAGCCTGTGCTGAGCCTGATGGGCAAGACCCTTCGTAAAAGAAGAAGCCAAGGAAATGACACATGCCACGCATGTGCTCCTGACAGACCCCACCTCATTTCACCCACACATCAGCTCAATGATGAGAACGCCCACCTCACAGGGAAAGAACTGGAGTCTTGCTACTCCAGCCTGAACCGTGCCACTGACGAGAGGTACCGGGGGTGCTGGAGTTACTTAATTTTAAGCCCTAAGACAGTCTTCAGAACACGCACACAAATCCTCTTTAAAATGCAGCTGGGGCCGGGCGGTGGTGGCGCACGCCTTTAATCCCAGCACTCGGGAGGCAGAGCCAGGCGGATCTCTGTGAGTTCGAGGCCAGCCTGGTCTACAGAGTGAGATCCAGGAAAGGCGCAAAGCTACACAGAGAAACCCTGTCTCGAAAAACCAAAAAAAAAAAAAAAAAAAAAAATGTAGCTGGGGGCAAGCTGGAGAGATGGATTAGCAGCCAAGAGCTCTTGTTGTCCCACCTGAGTTCGAATCCCAGAACACAGGTGGACGGCTCACCAATTCCTGTAATTTAACAAATGCCTGTAATTCCAGATCTAAGGTATCCAGTGCCTGTACTCTATCCTCTCAGGGCACATGCACACATGTGGCACACACACACACACACACACACACACACACACACACACACACACACACAATAAATAAATAAATAATAAATAAATAAATAATAAAAAAATAAAAATTAAAAATAATAAAAATGAAATAAGATGGAGCTGGGAGCTAGAAATAAAGACAAATCCATGTCGAGGCAAGAGGATCAAAGTTCAAGATCGGCCAGGCAGTGCTGATGCGTGCCTTTAATCCCAGCACTCAAGAGGCAGAGGCAGGTGGATCTCTGAGTTCGAGGCCACCCTGGTCTACAGAGTGAGTTCCAGGACAGCCGGGGCAGCACAGAGAAACCCTGTCTTGAAAAATAAACAACAACAAAAAAGTTCAAAGTCATTGTGGACTACAAGAAAAGTCTTAAAACAAACAAACAAAATTAACTGAGGGTCTGGGGGTGTAGCTCAGTGGCAGAGCATGTCCTTGGTACGCATAAAGGTCTAGGTTCAATTCTTAGCAGAAAAAAATTAATATACTTGGAAGAAAAAACTATCTTTTTATATGAATTATTGTTAGTTAAATACACAACTTTAAAAAAAAGTGTTGGGCCGGGTGTGGTGGTACTTGCCTTTGATCCCAGCCCTTGAGAGAGACAGGCTGATCTCTGTGAGTTTGAGGCTAGCCTGGTCTACATAGTGTATTCCAGGACAGCAGGGCTATGTAAAGAGAACCTGTCTCAAAAAATGTGTTCTTGTTGGTGCTTCCCCCCATTCCCGTGCGCGTGTGCAAGCGTGTGTGTGTGTGTGTGTGTGTGTGTGTGTGCGCGTGTGTACACCATGTTAGAGTCAGCCTCTGATTGTGTTTGCTCGGTGCTGAGAACTCCAGGGAAGCTGCCCTGACAGCATACAGCAATTCTGCCCCTGTCCCCCATCCCCCTGGGTCACAAACATGCCTGTGGCATCTGACATTTTTTTTTTTTTTTTCTATTCAGATTCCAGAGATCTGTACTGAGGTTTGTGCGGCAGGTGCCTTTACCCACTGAACCACTTCCCACGTCCTTCGTCAGTCTCATGCAGTCCGAGGCTGGCCGTGAACTCCTAAAATCCTCCTGTCTCTACCATTCCTGCCTTGAGGTATGAAATTACTGGCTTAACAATAAGAATATGGCTTAAAATTTTTGAAATTATTGGCTTTAAAAATTTATGATTTTTCAACAAGAGTGCCAGGTTCTTCTGGCGTGCCCCGTAGGTTATCTTGATAACTCTCTCTGGAGACCACAGCTATGGATGACAAATCCCTGAAAAAGACAGAGCTGCACTTTGCCCCTGTGTGGTGTCTCCTGGCACCCAGTCCGGTGCCTCAGATGCAGCAGGTGTTCCAAAACACGTACGGAATGAAGATATGATCATATGCACTGAACTCATGGTTCTGGTGGCTTGGGAAGATTTCCAGAAGGAGGTGGGTTGAGTGGGATTCTGAGCAAGGAAGGAAAGCCACCAGGCCTGGGGAGGATTCTCACCCTGTCCACCATGAGGGAGGCGCTCTCCTTGAAGATCTCAAAGTCTTTTTCTGACACACTTTGAGACGCATCGAGCAGCAGATAGAGGTTCAGGTGACCTGAGCGCTGGATTTGGATTCTACGGCCCAGGTTTTCTGAAGAAAACAAGAGACAAGGCATTTAGATGCCCACCCACCCTGTGCTACAACAAAGGTCACCCAGCTCCCAGCACCCAGGCAGCCTGCCTCCCGCCTGCTCCCAGCACCCAGGCAGCCTGCCTCCCGCCTGCTCCCAGCACCCAGGCAGCCTGCCTCCCGCCTGCTCCCAGCACCCAGGCAGCCTGCCTCCCGCCTGCTCCCAGCACCCAGGCAGCCTGCCTCCCGCCTGCTCCCAGCACCCAGGCAGCCTGCCTCCCGCCTGCTCCATCAGGCCCCTTCTCCAGTGCTCACCTGTCCTCTTCTGGATGGGATTGGTAGCTCCAAGCAGGTTGGTGAAGGAGGTGCCTAGGGCAGAGGCCACATCCTCAGGGAAGTCATAAGAGTATGGCTCTGTGGGAAGAGTCACATGAGGGCCAGCAGGACCGGACCTGGGTGTGCAGTCCCAGAAGAACACTGAGGATACTCACGTCGGCAGATGGGCTCTGTTCCACTCCACATCCCGTTGCTCTGGCACTCCCGCCCTGCGGAGCCAGTCAGCACCAGATTTGAGGAGGAGCATTGGTAACTGACCTTGTCCCCAAGGTCAAAGCGTGAGCCTGTCCGTACTGTGCCCACTGAGATGCCCGGGTTGGGGCAGTGGCCAGCTGCAAGTGAGCAAAGACAGGTAAACGGGCCTGGAGATGTCTGCCCGGCTCAATGCCTCGCCCTTCATGCCACATCTTCCTCTTCTAGACCCTCAAAGCCACCAACGGTTCCTTTAGATGCCAGAACCATTAGACTAGAGTACGGCCGGAGACCTTAAATAGCCCACAGCACTTGGAGTTCAAGACCTCAGCCACCCGCTGGGGCACTGCAGGCCTGACCCAGGCATCACTTGCATTTCATAAAGCACGAGGTGATTGCCGCACACCATGAGAATAGTTGACCCTCAACCTAGAGGTGACTCCAGCTATAGGGGAGGGTGTGGAACAGGCAGAACTCTGTTTAAACAGCTGGAATGTCCACTGGGGAAACCCTGGATAAAGCTGCAGTCTGTCAACTTATCACTCCAGAGGGCAAAGTCCACAGAGACAGTTCCCCAAATCTCACTCTTTGTAGCCCCAAACCAGACATCACTCAGATGCTCAACAAGACAATAATACTTTATGATGCATTTATAGAATAGAATGCCATACAATTAAAAAGAGAACCATGGACTCTTATGACAACATTCATCATTCTCAAAAGCAAAGTACTGAACAAAGGAAAATGAGATGGGGCTGGAGACATGGCTCCGGGGTTCAGAGCACTGGAAGCTCTATCAGAGGACCTGAGCTCAATTCTCGGCATCCATGTGGTGGCCCACAACCATGTGTAATGGCAGTTGATGTAAGGCATCCAACGTCTCTGGCCTCCATGAGAATGCACATGTGGCATACATTCACACACATATACATATAAATAAAAAATACATTTTAAAGGAAGCCAGATAAAAAAAAGCACACCCCACATGATTCCATTTGTATGAAGTGTAGGAACAGGACAAGTCTGGCAAGGTGGCTCAGTGGGCAGAGCCACTTCCTACCAAACGCAACATGCTGAGTTTGATCCTGGCCCTGCGAGTTGTCTTCTGACTGCCACACCCACGCCACGGCATGATCATGCTTCCCCCACACACATGTGATAAATAAGGAGATATTACGTAAAATAAAGCAAAGTAAAGAACAGGTAGACTTAGTTAGAAGTCGGAAAGGGGTTGACTTATGGAAGGAGACAAGAGAAAGTCCTGCAGTGTGGGTGTATCCTCAAGATAGGTGGCATTTCATAGGTGGGTTCATGTATAAAAATCCATACTTTAGCCGGGCGGTGGTGGTGGCGCACGCCTTTAATCCCAGCACTCCGGAGGCAGAGCCAGGCGGATCTCTGTGAGTTCGAGGGCAGCCTGGTCTCCAAAGCGAGTTCCAGGAGAGCTAGGGCAGTTACACAGAGAAACCCTGTCTAAAAAAAATACTTTGCGCCAATGAGATGGTTTGTCAGATAAAGATAATGGTGCTTGATGACATGCCTCAGCATGTAAGTTTCATCCCTGCTAGAACCCAAATAGTAGGAGAGAACCAACTCCTGAAAGTTGTCCTACACACACACACACACACACACACACACACACACACACACACACATACATACACACACACACACACACATACACACACACACACACACACATACACACACACACACACACACACACACACACACACACACAAATGATTTTTTTGTAACAAGGTCTCATTGTGAAGCCCTAACTGGCTTAGAATTCACTCTGTAGACCAAACTGGCCTCAAACTCTGAGATTCCCCTGCCTCTGTCTCCTAAGTGCTGGCATTAAAGGTGTGTGCAGCTGAACAAATACATTTTTTGTTTTATTTTGTTTTTCGAGACAGGGTTTCTCTATGTAGCTTTGGCATCTTTCCTGGAACTCACTCTGTAGCCCAGGCTGGCCTCAAACTCACAGAGATCCGCCTGTCTCTGCCTCCCGAGTGCTGGGATTAAAGGTGTGCGCCACCATCGCCCAGCTATAAATACATATTTTTAATTTTCCTACTATGGAGTTTGGAGTATAGCTCAGTGGTAGAGTGCTTTGCCTGGTATTCCAGAAATCCTGGATCCCACCCCCAGTCTCACACACGAATTGCATATTTTAATACAGGGAGATTATGTGTCAAATTTAAAATAAATTGCATTTACGTTTGAATAAATGGCTATTTGGGAAAGACTCCAGCATGAGTAAGGTATCAATCACTGTCTGGGTAGCTGGGTGAGGAAGTGGTCCTGCTGCCTAGCGGACACTGCCTCCTGTGTGATGGCGAAGCTGGGTGTGGTGGTATGCACTGTGGTGGTTAAGGCAAGAGGATCAGGAGTTCATAGGCAGTCTGCATTTGAAGCCAGTCTGGGCTACTTGAGACCCTATGTTTGAAAAACAAAGTGCTCCAGGGGATCCCGAGAGGCCCCCTTCTCCCCCAACACCACTCACAGGGCTGTGAAGTACTCAGGGATGCCAGGTTCCAGCAGCTATTCAGGGAAGCCATGACTCTGGAAAGACCCACGTGGCTAAGCCAGGGCCAGGGTCTCAGGGGACCAACAGCTACAGGCAGCAGGTGAGCTCTTCCCACTGCCGCCCCTCTGGTCCCTCTGTTCCCTTGGATGCTGCTTAGTAATTCCAGCCGTTAACCCATCCGGCACTCTGCTATTCCTCTTTCTTACTTTTTATCTTGTTTTGGTTTTTCAAGACAGGGTTTCTCTGTGTAGCCCTGGCTGTCCTGAAACTCTCTCTGTAGACCAGGCTGGCCCCAAACTCACCGAGGTTTTTTTTTTTTAATTATTGTTATTTATGTGTATGTCTGTGTGGAGGCCACACAAGAGCATTGGATCCCCGGGAGCTGGGGTTATGGGCAGGTGTGAGCCTGATGCACTGGGAATGGAACTCCAACTGCTGAGCCATCTTGACAGGTCCACTACTCCCATTTTACAAATGTGAAAACTGAGGCACGGGAAGGGTACGTAACCTGTCCAGAGGCTAGCTAAGTTAGAGCAACTGGAGCCACACACCCAGCTCCAGAAGCTGGGCACTGAGCCCAACAGGCAGCGCCCCATCTCTCACAGGTCTGGTCTGTGACACTCCATGGGGTTAAGGACAAAGTGTTGTCTGAGCTGGTTTGGGAGCTCATGCCTGTAATCTGAGCACTTTGGAGACGGAGATTGCAGTGAGTACAAGGCCATCCTGGGCTACGTCCTGAGCCCCAGTTCAACCTGGGCTAGAGTGAGTCCCCGAATCAAAGAAAGGAAGGGAAGAAAGAGAGGAGAGAGAGAGAAGAAGGGAGGAGGGAGGAAAGGGAGAAAAGAGAAGAGAAGTTGAAGGGTATGTAGAGCCGCTGAGTCAGATGTGAAACCTATCAGCAATTGCCTGGGCGGGGCTCCGTGCGGGTCAGTGAAGTGTGGCCCACAGACCTCAACCCACCCCAATCCAGGAACATTACTGTGCCACCACCAACACCATGCTCCTGTCTCCACAAAAGCTTCTGGGGTTGCAACCGCCCGTCCCCACCCCCAAGTAGCCCAACAGTAAGAGCACTTACCCCCACTGTCACACACAGCGGTCTCCCCATCCCACATGCCGTTGGGGCGGCAGTACCGCACAGGCGAGCCCCGCAATGTGAAGCCATGCTCACACTGGAAACTCAGGTTGCCACCCACGGGGTGAGACCCCAGCCGAGGGGTGTATATGCCGTTCTCAAAGGAAGTCGGAGCCGGACAGCGAACAGCTGGAGGGAGAGAAGTCAGGCAAGGTCAAAGGATGGCTGACACCCAGCCTAGGCGTGGGGCGGGGCCTCCTGTTAGAACCTGAGACTGTCAACTGGTTGCAAAGACATGGTAAGAGCCTGGTGTGGTGCAGCCTGTAATCCCAGCACGTGGGCAGCTGAAGCAGGAGGGTCACGGAAGCTCAAGGCCCGCTAGGTTATTTGGTGAATTTGAGGCCAGCCTGGATTATAATGAAACCCTGTATCAAAAACAAAATCAGGGGGCGCTGGAGAGATGGCTCAGAGGTTAAGAGCACTGACTCCCAGAGGTCCTGAGTTCAATTCCCAGCAACCACATGGTGGCTCACAACCATCTGTAATGAGATCTGGTGCCCTCTTCTGGCCTGCAGTCATACATGCTGTATACATAATAAATAAATAAATCTCAAAAAAAAAAAAATCAGGTCAGGCGGTGGTGGCTCATCCTTTAATCTCAGCACTCAGAGGCAGAGGCAGGAAGATCTGTGAGTTCGAGGCCAGCTACACAGAGAAACCCTGTCTTGGTAAACCAAGAACAACAACAAAAAAAAAATCGGAACAGTTGGGTGTGGTGGTAGTACACACCTGTAAACCCAGACTGGAGAGGCAGAGGCTGGGAGATTAATTACTGTAAGTTTGGGTCCAGCCTGGGCTACAGAGAGACTCTGTCTCAAAACCAAACATGGTGGCTCATGCCTGTGAGGCCAGCACTTGAGAGGTGGGATTGGGAAGCAGGAGTTTAAGTCCATCCTCAAGGAGTTCAAAACTCACCTTTGAAACCAAAGATGATAGGGTTGGCAGACTCACACAAAAGTAATTAGTCAAAAAAGGGCTGGGGAAATTAGCTCAATAGAAGAGCGCTGGCCGAGTATGAGTAAGACCCTGACGTCCAATTGTAGCACCAAAGAAAACCCAAAAAGGAGATTGAAACGTAAGATTGCTGCCTTAGGCAGTTGGTTGAATATTTCCAACTTAGAGCAGATCAAGCCCATCTGACTGATATGTAGCTGCCCCCCCCCCCCAAGGGCTGTGGTCACCCCAGTCTCTCATCAAGGACATTTGTGTCCAGGATGCTCCAAGACATTCAGCATCCATTTAGAATGGACAATAATCCTACAGTTAATTTTACCTAAAAAAAATAAAATAAAATAAAATAAAAAATGTCCTTGCTAAGGACAGTGGACTTTTTCTGGATTTGTTTGTTTGGTTTGTTTTTTGTGGTTTTCTGGGGGCCTTTGTTGGGGAGGGTTGTTTGTTTTTTGGAGCTAGGGTCTCATTTTACAACCCTGGCTGGCCTAGAACGCACTATGTAGACTAGGTTATCCTCAAACTTACGGAGACCCACCTGCCTCTGCCTCCCTCCCTCCCTCCCTCCCTCCGCCTCCCAAGGGCTGGAATTGAAGTCACCACAACCGGCTTTTTCCGGTATTTTGAAAGCCTCTCTCTAACTAGTCCCTGGGACCCCCTGCTGATAAGTCTGACACTGGTGGGCACTTCCCAAAGCCCAGAGGGACTCACCTTTGCAGACTGCTTTAACCCACCGAGGGGATCGCCGCAGGGTGGACAGCGGGCCGGATCTCGGGGTCTGCCACTGCCCGTTGCTCTGGCATCGTCTCCAGGCCGGGGTTGGGTAGCTGCCCAGGGGGCAGGCGTAGGTGAGGACGCTCCCAGGGGCCCAGCCATGGCTGAGGGTGAAAGTACCACCAGAGATATTGACATTCTGAGGACAGGAGAGCGCTGCCAGGCCTGTGGGTGTGGGAAAGGAAAAACCGGCCAGATGAGAGAGGGGCGCCGAGGAGGGGCTGGCTCTTTCAGGTGTGGACTCGACCCAGCAGCACCTGCCACGCCCATAGGACCCGATAGCCTTGTTCCTGCCTCCTACCTGGGCACAGCGGCAGCAGGCAGAGCAGAGCCAGCAGAGGGGCCATGGTGTCAGGACCGGAGCACCGAGAGCCAGGGGAGAGAAAAGGTCATCTGACTTCCCCGAAACCACCGCGGGCTGAGCAGGCTGCCAGGGAATCCAAAGTCAAAAGGCGGGGAGTGGCGGAGGCGGCAGGGTCCTAGGGGGAGGAAAAGAGAAGACATGCCAGGGATTAGGGGTTCAGCTTTGGGGTGCCCCCAAATGAAGATTCCAGGACATCAGAGTCAACACACACACACAAGCACACCTGGTCTTGTGTGGATAATGTTAAGCACACAAACCCACAAACTCTGTCAAACATTATATTTACAGTGTTTCGTTTCCTTTTGGAGTTGGCCACATGGATCTGATCCCCTGGGCCCAGTGGGGAGCACAGCTTCTGAGGAATCGAAACTAATCTTTTTAGAACTTCTTGGCATATGAGAAGATTCACATTCTGTCCTGGGTCTTTCCCTGAAAACAGGATAAAAAGGAAGTCAACAGTTACTTGCAAAGACGGGAAGAATGCTTAGAACATTTTTTTTTTTTGAACATCCAACAGATAAAATTCCCAACTTGCAAAAAGAAAAAAAAAATTAGGGGTTGGGTATTAAAAAGAATAACAGTATTTTTGAGTTTGAGATATACTTTTTAATTGAAAAAAAAAGCTTTTTTCATACAATGTATTTTAATCTATTTTTCCCCTCTGAGACAGGGCCTCACGTAATCTAGACTGACTTAGAATTTGCTAAATAGCTGAAACTGTCCTTGAACTCCTGATCCTCCTGCCTCTGTCTCCCAAGGGTGGAGGTTACAAATACTGGCTACCACATAGGACACCCAGCCAGTTTGTTAGTTAGTTTGTTTTGAGACAGAGTCTTACTATGTAGCTGTGGCTGTCCTGGATCTTGCTCTGTAGACCAGGCTGGCGTTGAACTCACAGAGATCCACCTGCCTCTGCCTCCCGAGTGCTGGGATTAAAGGCCTGGGCCACTACATCCTGCCCAGCCATGGAGAATTTAAGGCGATGTATTACCCTCCTTGTCCCTCATATGCTTAGTTACTGTTCTTGTAACTATAACAAGGTCAAGGCCAGCACCTTCCCATCTCCATCCCAAGAAAATCTGTCAGATCAGCAACAAAAATACCATTGGTTTCTATTTCTTCTGCTGTGTATGTAGATGTAACCAACCATCTTATTAAATAAGAAACACAGAACCAATGCAAAGAAGAAAGCCAAGAGATCAGAGCTAAGAGCCTTACCCGCCTGCTGCAGCTAGCCTCTTAAGCCAAGAGACCTCTCCGAAAGAGAGCTAGATTAAAGGCGTGTGTCTCCAATGCTGGCTGTATCCTTGACCACACAGACATCTACCTAGCTCTGCCTACCAAGTGCTGGGATTAAAGGTGTACACCACCAACGCCCAGCTTTTGCTATGGCTCTAATAGCTCTGACCCCCAGGCAACTTTATTTATTAACATACAATTAAAATCACATTTCAGTACAAATAAAATACCACCATATGTGTGTGTGTGTGTTTATGTGTGTGTGTTTGTGTGTGTGTCACGTGCACATGTGTTTGTACCTCTGGAGATCAGAGGACAATCGTAGGTGTAACTCCTCAGGAACCTTCCACCTTTTGCTTGAGACGGGGCCTCTCACCGGCCCAGAACTTTGCCAAATAAACCAGACTAACTCACCAGCTTCACCCTGGGCTTCAAGGACCTGCCTGTCTCTGTTCCCAGCAGCACTGGAATCACAAGAGGGCAATGCAGCATCCAGACTTTTAATGCGGATTCTAAGGCATCCACACGGGGGTCCTCACACGTGTCTTCTATCTCTCCAGCCCCCATGTTCTTGAGACTGGGTTTCACACAGTCAGTACTGGCCTCAAACTTGCTGCGTAGCAGAGGCTGGCCCTTTCACACAGTCAGTGCTGGCCTCAAACTTGCTGCGTAGCAGAGGCTGGCCCTGAACTCCTGATCCTCCTGCCTCCACCTTCCAAGTGCTGGGGTTACTGCCACCTTGAGGAAGCTTTGCACACACTGATCTTGGAGCCTCAGAAAAGAAGGACTATGTCTGGCTTCTGGTTCCTCCACGCCACCGTCCCCAGAGGCTGCCCTGTAAGTCTAGACGAGAGGTTCCACACTGAGCCCTCTGACATTGTCCATTGTACCAGCTTCCCAAGGAGTAAACAAAAGGCTGAGAAGTGGGTTCTTGGGCCTCCCAAGAAGTAGGTCTGTCCTGGACCTACTGTGAGGAGTCACATCCCTTTAGGACAACAACTGAACCCCTGGAATGTGCCCATCTGAACATCTATACTCTTCCTCCTTGCAGCCGACAATTCCCGAGGGATCTCCACACTCCTGAGGGCTGGTGGGGCTCTTCCTACATGTGGGGAAGGCTACTGGGTATGACATAGTAACAAGGTGGTTGGTGGCCAGGTACCGGCTGGGAAAGGACAAGTGTTACAACTGCCTTACCCACAAGCTCTGCTCTGGATTTAGCCTCTGTGAGAGGGGACCCAGCAGCTGCTCTACCTTTTCAATGACATACCTGCCCAAATGTGGAATGCAATGCTCCATCTCCTCCCCTGTCTCCAGAAACTGCTCTGGAGCTCCTGTCCTTGCCAGCTCCACCGCTTCACCCCACCAGGCCTGATAAGGTAGAGTCTCCAGATGGAGGGGACAGATATTTATGCTTTTTTTCCTTCGGGCACAAATGAGACGCTCTACTCCAGCAGAGTTTACCCCACTCCCAGCCCCAGATCAGTGTGGCGGAAGGAATTCAGTTTGGGGCTTAAGATGGCCAGGGCGGTCAGGCTTGGCTCGGCACCTCAGTCATCTGTTTCATCAGTGTCACTCACGGGGATGAGGCCGTCGGGAAAACACACTGAGAACAAAATGAGCAACCGAAGGGAGAGAATCAGGGGCTCTGGGGGTGCACGCCTATAATCCCAGCATTCAGGAGGCTGAAGAAAGAGAATTGCACGTTTGAGACCAGCTTAAGCTACTTGGTACTCCAGTCCAAAAAAGGAGAAGCCTCCCATAGTATCTGAAAGGGTGATGTGCTGAGTTTGGGTTCACTCGCACACGACCAACACCTGATGCATGTGGACAGTGGAATACCACACGGCTTCTCAAATCCTGAGGTGCATCTGTGTAGAGCAGAATAACTCAAGACAGATAAAATATAGACACTAGATGACCTAGACGGTATGTATGGGACACTGACATTCAGAAAAGGAAAAAAACCAGCCTGGGAGATGGTAACTTTTCCTTTAGTTTGCTGTTGGTTTTGGTTGTCACTGGTGATGGTAGTTTTGTGGTACTGGGGATCTGGCGTAGGGCTTTGTACACGCTAGGCAAGTACTTATCTCTGAGCTCTACCCCAGCCTCACACATGCTCTGTAAATGGGCAGAACTTTTCTGGGAACTGAATAGAAGAGTCACCTCGAGGAGAACTGGGGCTGGAAATGGGCTGAGGAGGGGGAGTTACAGGAGTCTCCTGTCTTTTTGGCTCTGGTGTTTGTATGAGACAAGGTCTCCCATAACCCATGTTGGACCCAAATTCTCTACGTAGCCCTGAGTGCTGGGATTACAGGCAGGTACCACCATGCCTGATGTACATGACCCGGGGTGGGACCCAGGACTTCCTAGGCCAGTGCTCTACCAACCGCATCCTCAATCCTATGTAAACATCTTGTTGGTTTGTTTTTGTTTTTGAAATGAGGTCTCTCTTTGTAGTCCTGGATGGTCTAGAACTTGCTGTAGAGACCAGGCTGGTCTCTAACTCACAGAGCTCTGTCTCCTGAAAACTAGAATTAAAGGCATCAGCCACCATGCCCAGCTAGTGTATTGTTTTGGCTTTGAGATTTATTTTTTGTTGGATGGGCCTGGTGGCGCACGCCTTTAGTCCCAGCACAGACAGAGACAGGGGGATCGCTGTGAGTTCAAGGCCAGCCTGGTCTACAAAGTGAGTTCCAGGACAGGCTCCAAAGCTACAAAGAATCCCGGCCTCAAAAAACCAAACCAAAACAGAACAAAAAGAACCAGGGAAGGGCAAGGGGACACATGCTTTTCGTCACAGGGAAGACAGAGCTCTGTGAGTTCAAATCCAGCCGGGTCTACATAGGGACAGTAGGACTGAGGAGTTCAGGTGATAGTGAACCACCGGAGGCCCGGCAGAGGTTGGTGTGGGGTCTAACGGGGATGTATGAACTGGTTATCAGGGCACCCAGCGTGGGAGTCAAGCAGGCTGCTTATCAGTTCTCCCAGTACCTGCCTTCCAGGCACATGACAGAATCAAATGTCTGAGCCTTGCTCAAGTTCGTCCCAGCCAAGTGGCTTTAGATGACAGCAGGGAGCTGTGGTCCAACACATCGTCTATTGTTACTTCTAAGCAGGAGTCCTCCATCAGCTGAATGAGACAACTTACACGGTGATTCCCGCACTCAGGAGACAGAGGCAGGAGGACTGCATAAATTCCAAGCCAATCTAACCTACATTTACCAGGCCAGTCAGCACTACATAGTGAGACCCTGTCTCAAACAAACAAACAAAAATGTGCTGGATTGCCAGTGTAATGTTCCCAGAGGCCTCTCCTCCTCCCCCTTCCTTCTTTATTACTCAGTCAGGAGATGAACAGGGCTTCCTGTGTTACCCAGCCCTCCACCACTGAGCCACAACTACTAATGTGTTTGTTCACATATTGGTTGTTTGAGACTGGGGCTCAAGACATCGGGCAGCAGGATATAAGCCGAAGAAAGCCTTCAATGCCTCCTCCTCCTGCCTGAGGCCCCCAAGTGCTGGAATTGCACACACGGTCCATCAGGCCTAGTGTGTATGTGCGTGTAAAATTTTTTAAAAGTTACTTCTTTAGATGAGATCTCCTGGGTAAACTGGGGGTGAGGGGGTTGCCTAGGAGGAAGGGGATGGGGGATGGGAACATGAGATCGGGATGGTCGAGTTGGGGGAGAGATGGAGAGGGAGAGCAATGAAAGACATATCTTGATAGAGGGGGCCATTATGAGATTAGGGAGAAACCTGGTGCCAGGAAAACTCCCAGGAATCCACAAGGATGATGCCAGCTAAGACTCCTAGTAATAGTGGGGAGGGTGTCTGAACTGGCCTTCTCCTGCAATCAGATTGGTGAATACCCTAATTGTCATCAGAGAGCCTTTATCCAGTAACTAATGGAAGCAGATGCAGAGATCCACAGCCAAGCACTGGGATGAGCTCCAGGAGTCCAGTTGAAGAGAGGGAGGAGAGATTATATAAGCCAGAGGGTGTCAAGATCATGACGGGGAAACCCACAGAGACGACTGACCCGAGCTCATTGGAGCTCATGGACTCCAGACTAACCACTAGGAGCCTGCATGGGACCAACCTAGGCCTCTGCGTGTGGGTGACAGTTGTGTAGCTTGGTTTGTTTGTGGGGCCCCTGCAGTGGGACCAGGATCTGTCCCAGGGCACATGAGCTGGCTCTTCGGAACCTTTTCCCTGTGGGGGAGGAGCTTGGTCCTGCCTCAACTTGGTATGCCATGCTTTGTTGACTCCCATGGGAGGCCTGCGCCTTTCTGAGGAGTGGATGAGGGGGGAAGAGGGGGTAAGAAGGAAGTGGGGGGAGGGAACAGGAGGAGAGGAGGGAGGGGACACTGTGGTTGGTATGTAAAACAAATTAAAACTTTTAATAATAAAAAGTTATTTCTGGGGCTGGAGAGATGGCTCAGAGGTTAAGAGCACTGGCTGCTCTTCCAGAGGTCCTGAGTTCAATTTCCAGCATCCACATGGTGGCTCACAACCATCTGTAATGAGATCTGGTGCCCTCTTCTGGAGAGCAGGGGTACATGCAGACAGAACACTGTGTACATAATACATAAATAAATAAACAAATCTTAAAAAAAAAGTTATTTCTTTTATTTGTGGGTTATAATTACATCTCTTCTCCCTCCAAACCCTGTTCTGTGCTCCTCCATCTTCCTTGCTCGCTTTCAAACTCACGGTCTCTTTTCCCATTAGTGGTTATTACACACATACAACAGATATATGCGTGTGTGCTGTGTATACACATACATGTATATACCACATACACACCTAAACGCTTAAGTACAACCTGCTCAGTCTTTACACTGTTACCTGCATACCTGTTTTCAGTGTGACCATTTGGTATTGGATGACCGATTGATGCGCTCTTCCCCGGGAAAGACTATTTCTCCTGTGGCTTTCTGTGTAGGGTTGAGGCTCATGGGCTTCCTCCCAGCCGCTTTGGTCTGTCATCCTTGTTCAGCTCATGTTTAGGCGGTCATGTTGGCGAGACGTCAATGGGTGTAGCATCTGACATTCCTAGAAAACACAACCTCGTAGCAGGTTCACTGGCCCTCTGGTCTACACTCCTCATGCCTTCTTCTCAGTGTTCCCTGAGCCTAGTGCAGCTTGCAGTATACATGCATCCATTGGGAGCGGGCGCCATAAATCTGCATTTTGATTGGTTGTGGCCTCTGTAATGGCCTCTGTCTGTTGCAAAGAGAACTTTCCTTGATGAGGGGTGAGGACTACAGTTATCTGTGGGCACAAGGACGATATTTAGATGAAGTTAGGGGCTGTGCTGGCTTTGTAAGGTGATCATAGGTTCTCCTATGTAAGGTGATCATGACTTCACGAGCTGTGGATAGTTGGCCAGGCCACCACTACTAGGCATGATTTCCCTCTCATTGAGTGGGCATCGGGCCTGACTTCAATACCATCTTCTTTTTGTTACATTTACTTATTTTTTGTATTTATTTATTTATTAAAGATTTATTTATTATGTATACAGTATTCTAACTGCATGTATGCCTGCAGGCCAGAAGAGGGCAGCAGATCTCATTACAGATGGTTGTGAGCCACTATGTGGATGCTGGGAATTGAACTCAGAACCTTTGGAAGAACAGCCAGTGCTCTTAACCGCTGAGCCATCTCTCCAGCCCTTGTATTTATTTATTTATTTATGTATTTATTTATGTATTTATTTATGTATGTATGTATTTATTTATTTATTTATTTATTTATTGGGAGCACATACCATGATGTGCATGTGGAGGTCACAGGACTTGTGGAAATTTGTTCTCTCCTTCCCCCATATGGATCCCAGGGTTTGAACTCAGGCTGAATGTCAAGTGCCTTTACCCAACAAGCCTTCTCCATAGCCCTAGTAATCTTGTGTAATGATTTTTTTTTTTTTTTTTTTTTTTTTTTGGTTTTTTGAGACAGGGTTTCTCTGTGTAGCTTTGGAGCCTATCCTGGATCTTGCTCCTGGATCTTGCTCTGTAGACCAGGCTAGCCTCAAACTCACAGAGATCCACCTGGCTCTGCCTCTAGAGTGCTGGGATTAAAGGTGTGTGCCACCACCGCCTGGCCAGTGCCCTTAACATTTAACTGCTGATCCATCTATCCAGCTAAAACACTGTTATCGTGTGTGTGTGTGTGTGTGTGTGTGTGTGTGTGTGTGTGTGTGTGTGTGTGTGTGTGTTGCGGGGGTATGTGCACCATGGCAGGAGAAGGGAGGTCAACTTCCAGGAGATTGGTTCTCTCCTCCCACCAACCGCTCTTCCTGAGCCATATCCTAGCATCCTCTTTGAATGAAGCCATTTTGGACCTGGATCTCTCGACTCACTGTAATGACCAGTGTCATATTCACCACTGACTCAACAGAGGGTATCAGCAGAATACAGCTGCTGTGGTGAAGCACTGAGACCATCATGACTGCTTCTGCTGCATTACTACTTAGCCATGCTGGCTGGTCTAGGCAGTGCCTATCAGCAGAGGGTAGCCCCAGAGCACCACGTATGTTAGGGAAGCGTGGGTGGAAAGGGAGCCCCATTGATGTAGAACACGATGGAAAACATTCCCTACCACAAGCATGAAAGAAATCAATTCAGTGGTGTTTTAGACAAGGAGTCATTTGACTAGAGGAACATTTCAGAAGTAGGATTCAGGGATGAGGGTGAGGGGCTGGGAGACATCCGAGAAGACACCAGGGCCGACAGCAGCCACAGACACAGTGAGAAGGACCAGACCCATGCTGAGGCATCTACCCTGCCACTGTGAGACTCTAATGTCGCACTGTCCTTTGGTCACCTGATCCTTGGTGGGCATCCTCTGCAAATGTGTCTTACAGGGGCTGGAGAGATGGCTCAGAGGTTAAGAGCACTGGCTACTCTTCCAGAGGTCCTGAGTTCAATTCCCAGCAACCACATGGTGGCTCACAACCATCTGTAAAGAGATCTGGTGCCCTCTTCTGGCCTGCAGGGATACATGCTGTATACATAATAAATAAATAAATATTTTTAAAAAAATGTGTCTTACTGTCCTCATCCCACGTGCTTCAGCTCAGTGTTGGCACACAGGAGGTGAACGTGAAGTTGATAGACAGCATGTCTGGTCTACCCATCTTAAGCTTGTAGTCTGAGATGAAGCCCTCATTACCCAAACCCACATTTCCAGAGATGAGAAAGACAGGATATTAAACTTTACAGGCCTGGTTTGGTGACATCTTTGATCGCAGCACTCGGGAGGCAGAGGCAGGAGAATCTCTGAGCCTGGTCTATATAGCTTATTCCAGGACAGCCAGGACTACATGGAGAGAATCTGTCTTAAAAACCAAACAAATAAATAAACTTTACAAACTCTCATTTTAAAAAACATTTTATTTTTAGCCGGGCGGTGGTGGTGCACGCCTGTAATCCCAGCACTCAGGAGGCAGAGGCAGGTGGATCTCTGTGAGTTCAAGGCCAGCCTGGTCTACGGAGCTAGTCCAGGACAGGTTCCAAAGCTACACAGAGAAACTCTGTCTCAAAAAACAAAACAAACAAACAACCACCAAAATCAAACAAACTACAACAACAACAAAAAACCCAACATTTTATTTTATTTATAAATTTTCTTTATTTTTATTTTATATGCATTATTGTTTCTGCCTGTATGTTTGTCTGTGTGAGGGTGTCAAATCCTGGAGTGACAGACAGTTGTGAGCTGCCATGTGGGTACTGGGAATTGAACCCGGGTCCTCTGGAAGAGCAGTCGGTGTTCTTAACCGCTGAGCCATCTCCAGCCCCAACATTTTATTTTTAATTACATGTATATGTGTGTGGGAGGGAGTGTAATGTGCATGTGAGTACAGGTACCTGCAGAGGCCAGAAGAGGGCGCTGGAGCTGCAGTTATGGTCAATGATGAGCTCCCCCACACAGGTGCTAAGAAAGGAATACCAGTCCTTTTCAACACTGAACCTACTCCAGTCCCCAGACTTTCCTTCTTTTGTATGTCTGCTTTGAGACAGGGTCTCTACACAGCCCTGGCTGCTCTAGAACTCACTATGTAGACTAAGCTGTCCTCAGACTCACAGAGATCTGCCTCTTGCTCCCAAGCACTGAGATTAAAGGTGTGGGCCACCACGCCCCCTCCAAACTCTCATACTTTGTGTGTGTGTGTGTAGGGGGGAATTTCAAGACAGGGTTTCTCTGTGTAGAACTGGCTGTTCTTGAACTCTCTCTGTAGACCAGGCTGGCTTTGAACTCAGAGATCTGCTTGCCTCTGCCTTCTGAGTGCTGGGATTAAAGGCGTGCGCCACCACCGTCCTTCTTAACAGTTTTTCCTATTACTGCTCAGTGAAATATAAACTCTTCCTTTTTAATTTCTTCCTTCCTTTCTTACTGTAGCAGTGTTCTGCCTGCATGTGTCCCTGCCGGCCAGAAGAGGGCGCCAGATCTCGTTACAGATGGTTGTGAGCCACCATGTGGGTGCTGGGAACTGAACTCAGGACCTCTGGAAGAGCAGTCAGTGCTCTTAACCTCTGAGCCATCTCTCTAGCCCCTTTTTAATTTCTTAAAGATTTGTTTTATTTTATGTGTATAAGTATTTTGTTTGGTGTGTGTGTGTGTGTGTGTGTGTGTGTGTGTGTGTGTGTGTGGTGTGTGTGTGACCTGGTGCCTGTAGATGTCAGAAGAGGGTGTTAGATCTTCTGGAACTGGACTTAAGAATGGTTGTGAGCCAACGTGTGGGTTCTGGGAAATGCACTGGGGTCCTCTGTGAGGACAAGTGCTCTCAACAGCTGAGCCACCTCTCCAGACCCATGTGTGATTCTTTTGAGAAGTTTGGTAAGGAAAAGATGAGATAGAAAAACAGAAATTTTAAATTAAAATTATTTTAAAGTGTCATAGTTGCTGGGTGGTGATGGGGCACGCCTTTAATCACGGCGTTTAGGAGGCAGAAACAGGCAGATCTCTGAGTTTGAGGCTAGCCTCGTCTACAGAGCAAGTTCAAGGACAGTCAGAGCTACACAGAGAAACCTTGTAATGAAAAAAAAAAAGAAGAAGAAAAAAACAGAAAAGAAAGAAAATGTCACAGTCTATTTCCCATGAACCAAAGAGAAAGGGCGTCACCACAGATCCTTTGTCTATCCGGTGTTTGTGAGGCTCCCCAGAACCTTTTACAGCCTGGTGAGCACTCAGGGCCTTCAGTTCAAAGATAAAGACACCCTGATTCAGAGAATGAAGTAATTTGCCCCAGGGCTTTCTCTCGTGCAGTAGACGGTGAATATGGCTTTAAACAAGGTGTACCAGACACAACGGAAAATCAAAGACCACGGCTAACGCACCGCTTCGCTCCACCGCTCTCTGCGGCTTCTCCGGAAACAGCATCCCTTGGGTTTGGGTATTCGGTTCAAGTCAGGAATGAACTTTGGGCGGATGCTGGACCAGCTGACAGTGAATGACTTCAACAGCCAGTCATTTATTGCCTGACTTTTGTTTGCAAAAAACAGTCCCTAACGTAATTCCTATAATCAAGAAGTTACAGTCTTTGGGGGGGGGGGGGGGCAGATATTGAACACATTAGGTTGCGAGCAGTTTCATGTCCTCAGAATTGAGAAGTTTCCCGGAGGTGTAATAAACAAACATACTCTGCAGGCAACAGTGGCATCTTCCCAAGGACCTTGGTAGTTTGGAAAGCCACTGTGGGTATTTGGGGTGCACAGAAGCACTGGGGTGGGGCTAGCCTTTAAGACGTGCCGGTGGCCATGTCAGAGGAGCAGCATGTGGCAATTAAAGTTCTGGTGTCTCCCCACCAGGAGGAAAATCCCGGATGGATGATTCTTGGATAGGCAAGGCCCTGAGGCCACAGACTGCAGAATGTGTTTTACTTCTGCTGTGCCTTTACATGTTTGCTGCTGCCATCCTTCTCTAGTGTCTGGCATGGTGTGAATGGGTGTGGGAGATCCACACTGCCTGTAATGAAGTGTGTTTATCTCATGGATACATCCTGTTCTACTGGGCATTTTTATGTTGTTCGATATTCTAAAAGTCTTATAATAAAGAAAAACCCAGGTCCAAATATCGGGGTAAATGCTGAAAGATCAGAGAGTCAAAGGAACAAGCCACTGCCACGTCTCACCTCACCAACTCCATGAATCCTGTAACTGAATGTCTCTGAGTCCTTAGCCAAAAGGGGTCCAGCTGGAAAGGGCTTCCTCTAAAAAAGCCTAGCCAAAAGGCCTCTAGCCGAAAGGGTTTCTCAGCCGAAAAGGCTGTTAGTTCCTGTTTCCTCAAGCCTTATATACCCTTCTCCACCCAGCCATCACTTTTTTCCTAGTGCTGGGATTAAAGTCGTGTGACTTCCAAGTACTGGGATTAAAGGTGTGTGCCACCACTGCCTGGCTCTGTTTCTCTCCTAGACTGAATCAATCTCATGTAGTCCAGGGTGGCTTTCAACTCACAGAGATCCAGATGGATCTCTGCCTCCCGAGTGCTAGGATTAAGGGTGTGTGCCACCACTGCCTGGCCTCTATGTTTAATCTAGTGTCTTGTTCTGTTCTCTGATCTTCAGGCAAATTTTATAGGGTACACAATATATCACCACATTTTT